ATGCAGGAAACTCTTTCTTTCACGCCGCAAAAGTAAAATTTCGGAAGTGGCTCTTCGATTTTCAATCTATCTCTCAATCAACTCATGCGGCACCCATTTTCCTTCCTTTTGAATTTCTCCCATGGCACATAAACGTTTGGAAATACCTTGGCGAGTCATGTTTAATGCCTCCGCAAGTTGATCTTGTGTTTGCGTATCATCTTCATCCAATAACGCTTGCAGATCGACGTCCTCAATTGTTTTTGGTCTTCTGGAGCGCTCCTTGTCTTTAGTGTCGAAATCGCCATTTTTGAAGCGTTTAAACCAATCTTCACAGGTAGTTTTCGATGGTGCATATTCGCCGTAGGCCTCCTCAAGCAAACGACGTGCTTCAGCTGCACTTTTTGTCAAGTTAAAGCAGAAAAGCAAAGCTTCCCGCAAATGCTGTTTATTTGGCATAAAACTCGACATCTTCGTTGCTAAAAAAAACATTTTTGCGTTGCGATATGTGTTGACATTACGACTGGTTATTGTTAACAGATGTCCAAGCTATAAAAGAACACAACTTCAGACATGTATGTCGACTACATGTGTCGTTAGCGCCATCCATGTGTGAAACCCGGAAACTTAGTTGCGCACCTAATATACAGGGTGTCCCATTTAACCTGACAAATCGTAATATCTGGAAAACTATATATCGGATCAAAAAAAGTGGGTAATGAAATTTGTTCGCCTCGAAAGGGGACATCCTTGATATCCAATGATATCAAACTTACGTAGTAGCTTTCTGTTCCCTTCGGGGTGCTTATTGCCTGATGGTGAGAGGCGAGGGGACACACCTAAAACAAGCACCCCGATGGTGAGAGGCAAGGGGACTCACCTAAAACAAGCACCCCGATGGTTAGAGGAGAGGGGACTCACCTAAAACAAGCATCCCGATGGTGAAAGGCGAGGGGACTCATCTAAAACAAGCACCCCGATGGTGAGAGGCGAGGGGACTCACCTAAAACAAGCACCCCGATGGTCAGAGACGAGGGAACTCACCTAAAACAAGCACCCCGATGGTAAGAGGTGAGGGGACTCACCTAAAACAAGCACCCCGAAGGGAATAGAAAGCTACTACGTCCTCGTCGTTGTTCCTGGATAACGCTAAAAGTAGTTTCTCGGAAAAATTCAACGCTATCTATCACGAATGAAAAAAATTGTTTCCATAAAAACTTCACGTAAAATCTAATTCTGCAATGAAAAATGTGGGTTCTCATTTGAGATTTGAACGTTACCACCCACCCTACCCCGAGGGGATGGGGGGAATAACTGTTATTATGTTTTTTAAAAATATTTTTAAAAATATTGAACAGTATTTTTCCATTTTCCGGTATTTTTTCATTTTTCAATCCAATAATCATTTCTGGAGAATTGCAGAAAATCTAATTTTTTGCGATTACAGCGCTATCTATCACGAACCAAAAAAAAAGTTTCGTACGAAACTTACGTATTTTGTGGCGTAGAATCTAAATCTGCAATAAAAAATGGGAGTTTCCATTTAAGATTTCAAAGCTGCCTCCCACCCCCACCCCCTGGGAGTGAGATGGGTGGTCGAGTTTGATATCATTGGATGTCCTTCGAGGCGAACAAATTTCATTACCCACTTTTTTCGATCCGATATGTAGTTTTCCAGATATTACGATTTGTCAGGTTAAATGGGACACCCCGTATATGTTAGGTTTCTTAGTTGGCGCTACTGTTCTAATATATCATTTCTTTTGTACAGTAGAAAAGTGTTGCAGGGTTTTATTATAGTTATAAGTTTTATTTGTAAAAACTTATGTACATATATATACAGTGAAAAAAGAATTTGAGTTTGATACTTCTAAAAATAACACAATACGTGTTGCGCTTGTACTTGGCTCCTTTTTTTTACCTTTTTGTTTAAAAAGGTAAGTTTTATAAGTTTTACTTGTAAAATCTTATATATTATCTTTAAGTTTTACTTGTAAAAACTTGTTATGTACATATATATACCTTTAAAAAAAATTTGAATTTGAAATTTCTAAAAATAACACAATACATGTTGCGCTTGTATAAGTTTTACTTGTAATTTTACGTCACGTACATACATCATTAATATATAAATGTTATTAATTTATACTTACTTGTTAATTATCCAATTAAATCGCGTAACACCACTTTAAATTATATGAAGCGGTCCTTATAATTGAGGGGCGATCACCCTGGACGAGTCAATAAACACCGGTATCGATTTTTCGATGGCATAGCTCATCACATCGTCTGCTCAGCATCAGCTGATGGGCAATCAAATGACGTGCGTCATAACATACCAACATTCTCACCTTTTTATGCCTCTTTCTTTCACCCCTCTTGCCCGTTCTCTTTTTCGCCTGTCCCACCCTCCCCCCTCTCTCTCTCTCTCTCCCTCTCTCTCTCTCCCGTTCTCTCTCGCGTTCTCTCTCCCGTTCTCTCTCCCGTTCTCTCTCCCGTTCTTTCTCCCGTTCTTTCTCCCGTTCTCTCCTCCGTTCTCTCTCTTTCTCTCTCTCTCTCTCCCTCTCGCTCTCTCTTTCGCTCTCGCTCTCTTTCTCTCTGTCATACATTTTCGTCTCCTGTATTCTAGCAATATTCTTCTCTCTCTTACTCTCTATCGCTTGCTCACTCTCACTCGCTGGTCTTTGCTTCTTCAGCGCGTTCGTAACGCCTCTAGTGTCGGAAAAACGAGATGCACAAATCCCCTCTCCTCGACAGTCTAGCGTTTCTTTCTTACTTTCTTACTGAATCGTAATTTTCCGTAATTTGGATTTGTCTTAAAATATATATACTTGGAGACAACGTACACAAAAAACACTAGGACTTTTCTTCCTATTTTTTTAAGGCTGAATCGATTGGGTCTAAAAAAACGTCGATCGGTTCAGCCATTGCTGAGATATGAATATTTCACCTCGTTTCAACTCGCAGTTTCGCGTATAATAGGCACGGCGTATAAGAGGCACGGTAGGCCTCGCGTTCGGGGGCAGCTTCGTTGCGCTTGAACTTGGCGCGAGGCACTACCGTGCCTCTTGATACTCCAGAAATTATAAGATGTTGTAATTTCCGTTATCTTTTTATTAAGTTTTGAAAACCTTTTTATGATATGTTGTCTGCCTCTTCGATATCTATTTATTTTACAAAGTAACATAGATTATATTCATGAATGTTATATCGGGAAATGGTGAATTAACCTAAACGTAATATGAAAACAGTAAACAGCTTGTGAGCAAACGGAAGTACCATTATCGCATTTAAAAAAAATAACTTATTAGTATTCGAGTTATAAGTACCAGTTCTTTCGGAACATGATGAAATATCACAAGATGTTTCCAGTGTTACGAATGCTAAATTTAAAACTTAAAAACAATAAACTTTTTAAACTTAAAAAAAAGTTTTTCCATTTCGCTAATTTGTAAAACTGAGCACATTAAAATCGTAGATTTTTTGCGCAGCCAGAATTAGAACATCCATGCATGAACTAGCTTTATTCTCTCGATGTCGATAAATATATTACCCAAGTATGCCGATGTATTCATTGACGTCAGACAAGAGTGAGCTTTGACTCTCAATGTTGTATTCGCATGTATACCCTCTCCTCGCGTTGCACATGCCACGTGTTAACGAACAATCGGATGTATATAAAATTTATGCACGTGTGTTTCATAGGCTTAAGTAAAAGGAAAATAGCGTGTAAAGCTATTATATTTGCTGAGCCCCATTGTGGGAGATACAGGACCACACGTTAAATATCATATTATACAGGATGTCCATTTTAATGTTTCACCCCAAATAACTCTTCAGTATTGAAGTTTCAAGGAAAATGACCTCAATAAAAGTTGTAGAAATTTAAATGAGGTATCTTATGATGACCTTGACTTTGACTTCGACCTCTATTTTCAAGGTCATTTGAAGGTCAACTTGCGTTTTTTAAATGGCAATCCTTATTTTTTATTACACTGTTATTTTTTACTAATTAATTTGAATAACTTTTGTCTAAAATATTTTTTTATTTGTCTAATATTTTTTGAGATATTTGAGGAAAATTTGATAACTTTTTCAATATTTAACTTACGATATATGGCTAACTACGATATATGGCTAACTACGATATATGGCTAACTATTTGTCGGAAGAAAAAGTGGTACTAGACTTTCTTGCTTTATTTAGTCTCAAGAATATATTGTTACAATAGCGCCTTGACTTTTGTTAACTTACTGATTTTTGGAAATTTTAAAATCATCAAATTAACAAAAATTAGGGCCCTATTGTAACAATATATTCTTGAGACTAAATAAAGCAAGAAAGTCTGGTATTACTTTTTCTTCCGACAAATAATTAGCGAGATATCGTAAGTTAAATATTGAAAAAGTTATCAAGTTTTCCTCAAATATTTAAAAAAATATTAGACAAATAAAAAAATGTTTCAGACAAAAGTTATTCAAATTAGCTAGTAGAAAAAACAGTGTAATAAAGAATAATTCCCATTTAAAAAACGCAAATTGATCTTCAAATGACCTTGAAAATAGAGGTCAAGGTCAAAGTTAAAGTCATCATGAGGTAGTTCACTTAAATCCCTACAACTTTTCTTCAAATCATTTTCCTTGATACTTCAATACTGAAGAGTTATTTGGGGTGGGACATTAAAATGGGACATCCTGTATACGCACATAATAGCACGGATGTAACGCACACTAACTAGAAGCATACAAGTAAATTTTGTATTCAAATAAATATGAATTTTCAATATCCACAAAACTATTGTGCTTTTTATACTTTGAACTGAGTATCCGATCGTCGTTGAATAATCCTAAATGAATTGAACGATCGGTAAATTATATGTTTATGTTTGTGTACATATATGTGTAAATAGTAAAGAGAGAAGAGGGAGAATTCATTGATGGACAAAAACATCTTCCACTGCAAACCTGTACACGCAAAATGCATTCTAATTTCAAATCTAACGCTTTATTCTTATTTCTCAGAGAATGGCCACAAGGGGAAATGAAGAGCAATCGATATGTCATCAATGCCATGAAGAGTTACTGTATGGAAAGAAGTTATTTGAATGTAGAATTTGCATGAAAAACGAATTTATAGGAGATATACCAGATGCAGATAAATCAGATGCAACAGGAACAGATATAAATAAAGTTTAAATTAAGATTCTGATTTGAGTTCAAATCCGAATGGGCAGTACTAAAACGATTTTGTGGAAATTGTCTATTACAGAACGTATATCTCGGTTCTTTGCGATTAACATAAGCGAATTTAACGGTATGTAAATATTACGTCAAAAACGTACCATTTTGACGTACGATTTTGTACGTATTCGGGCCCATTAGTATTTAATGGTGAAGGTTCGCTGGTAATAAAATGTATTCTCTATATGTACTATGCAAAAATAAATATAAAAATAAAGTACGCAATCAGTGCCAACTGCGTAGAAACCTTGTGTACATTCGGCGGGAAGGAAAATTTAATTTTCAGAGACATATTCTGGGAGGTATTCGAACGTTGTAATTGGACAATTACAGAGACAATGTCTCTCGAGATTCGAGTGTTTGGAGAGTATTAACCGCGTAATGATACAGCGAGAAAAGACTCGTAAAATATGAATAAAAATCAAAAAAGGAAATAGGTAGATCCTTTTACTGAAGAAAGCGATCACGACAATCAGATCGGTAATTGCAGAATCACAAACCTGATGAAAAGCTTAAGAAACTATGAAGTTAACATGGATTAACGCGAACTCCTGTATATTCTATGAAAGAAGGGAACATTTGTTGACTTTTAATTTGCTATATTTGTGGGTGACACTACCATTTGTTGGAATAATCAAGATTGAGTATCTCGATCAAATCAAAACGAGATCTAAGGGGTATTTTTTAAATAAGTGATTTAGGGTTATATAAATAATATAGGGTTATATAAATAATATATATGCATTGAGTTTTAGCAAAATAAAAATATAATCATTGTCATAGGCAAGTTATATTCAAAACATACTCCAGCGCTTCAAAATAGGAAAAGCCAAACAATGTGAGACATTTTGTGCAAGCTGACTACCATAAATTCGAAAACATATTACAGACAAATTCGTTTTATTACCCATATTTGATGATGAAAATATTACTAGATATTGCCTTTGTGAGTCAATTCACAATCGCGATCAATTCAACATTTGCAATTTAAACTACTTGACAGTGACTAATAAGGTGCTACGATGTCTATAAGGTGTCCGATAAATACGTAGGCAGTCTGAAGTTCTTGACCTGACACATATATGGCATTAGAAACTGTCAAACTATAATTATATTGGAAAGTGGCATCCCTGATATGAACCCATGTAAAATTTTATTCGATCTGTCAAGTCAATCGAGTAGTAACACCAGTTGAGAAAGCTTTGTGGAAGATGAGTGCCGCATTTGCTAACAATTGACTAAAAACGCATTCGAATGCGTATTCCTCAAGCATGTTTGGCACATTTTAATCGTTTTAAGCAAAATAAAATGGATTTCAAGTGTCGTTTCATAACTGTTGATGAAACTTGAATTCACCATTATATACCAGAGCGAAAAGAACCTTCCGGAATCACATTTTAATGATGGTATTGAATTATTGGAAAGACGTTGGAATAAATGTATTGAAATTTTAGGAGATTATATTGAAAAATAAAACATATCTCACGGCAAAAAAAATTTTCTTTCATTGTTAGGTCGAAAACTTTTCAAACTGCCCTCGTAGCTGTCAACCCGAAATGTGAAGCTAGATTGGGTTAAGATGAAAAGAAAAGTAAAATACAATTTTACAAGAATTGCAATAATTATCTAGTTATTAATGACAGAAATCTGACGAATGAGCGCTGATTGGAGGAGCGTCGGATGATTGGAGAGCATCTCTCGGGCCATAGTGCGGCCCAATTAAACAAGCAACTGTTGGCGGCGCGCAGTAGAAAAAATCACAATTTACTGTTAAAAAATCGCTACAGACCATAATTCTGAATCGATCGAGACGATCTAGGTCTTAAATTAATCGTTAATAAATTTCAAAGAAAACTGTGGAACTCGATTTGAAAAAAATGCTCTGAAATTTAAAATATTAATAATGTGAAAATGATTGTTAACCAGAAATTGAATCAGAAGAATGTAATGTTTCTTTTGTATTAAGCTATCTTACGGGGTTTACGAAGTCACTAAATACGAATCTGATATTGAAATTAAGATTGGACTATTGATAATTGTCAACATCGCTGTCAATTTAAAAAATATGCATGATTTTCAGCAGGAATGAGAGCACATTAGAGTTTTTGTGGTCATCGAATCAGATGTTAGAATTAATAATATTATAATAGAATTAAAAATAATTAATAATAATAATATTAGAATTCATAATATTGTATACTGTTAATATTAATAATATAAATAATAATCAAACCTTATATCAAATAAGAAAATAGCTTTGACATATTAGTAACATGATAATATAATAATATAGTTGACAGCTATCATAATGTTATTTTCTAATATAGATTACATACACGCAGTGAAAAATATAATGTTATTATTATATCATCATGTTACTAGTATATCAAAGATATTTTCTTATTTCATAGACATAAGATTTGATTATTATTTATATTATTAATATTATTAGAAGTACAAATAAGTTTCCGCCGTTTTCTATCAAAAATTAAGAATTTATTGTGAAAGAACGGTACATTACGTTTTATTCAAAGTATTGTCCATCACTAGCCACTACTTTTTCCCATCTTTCTGGCAGTATTCGGATACCACGTCGGAAAAACTCTTCATCTTTTGAGGCTATCCACGAATCGACCCAATTTTTAGTATCTTCATATGATGTAAAGCGCTGCTTAGAGAGGCCATGTGCCATCGACCGGAAGTGATAATCGGAAGGGGCAATGTCTGGTGAATACGGCGGGTGGGGTAGGACTTCCCAATTAAGTGTTTCCAAATAGGTTTTGACCGGTTTTGCAACATGTGGCCGAGCGTTGTCATGTAGGAGAATAATTTTGTCGTGTCTGGAGTAATATCGGGTGCGTTTTTCCTTGAGTGCTCGGTTCATTAATTGTGTTCGGTAGAGAGCTCCAGTAATGGTTTCGCTCGGTTTGAGCAACTCATAATACACGACACCAAGCTGATCCCACCAAATACACAGCATGAGTTTTTTTCCATGAATATTCGGTTTGGCTGTCAATGTTGAAGCATGGCCAGGGGTGGGCCCCATGATTTTCTCTTCTTTGGGTTATCGTAGTGGATCCATTTTTCATCACCAGTGACTATACGATGCAAAACCCTTTCTTTTATGCCTGGCAAGCAGTATTTCACACGTGCAAAATCGGCGTTCAACGTCTCTCGGCTTCAGTTCATATGGAACCCAATTTCCTTGTTTTTGAATCATTCCCAACGATTTTAAACGATGTGAAATTGCTTGTTGAATCACTTCTAATGTAAGTGTAAGTTCTTCTTGCGTTTGGCATGAATCTTCCTCCAATAATGCTTCCAATTCCATGTCTTCGTACACTTTTGGCTTTCCATTACGTCCTTTGTCTTCCACGTTAAACTCACCGTTTTTAAACTTTTGAAACCGCTCACGACAACTTCTCTCACTTAAAGCAGTCTCATCATATGCTTCTACAAGCAATCGATGCGCCTCAGCTGCAGATTTCTTCAAATTAAAGAAGTAAATCAAAAGTTCCCGCAAATGACGCTTATTCGGCAAAAAACTTGACATTTTCGCACGAAAAAAATTATGTGATGCTGATACGGAGTCACTAATACTTCAAGGTTATGTTGTTACCAGATGTCCAAACTTACGATATTACGTTTTACATCTGACAATTTCAACATAACCTTCTGGTGGGGTCATCTTTTGCCAAACGGCGGAAACTTATTTGTACTCCTAATAACAATATACAATGTTATGAATTCGAATATTATTATTATTAATTATTTTTAATTCTATCATTATTAATACTAACATCTGACTCGTATTCAACGAGCATAAAAACTCTTATGTGCTCTCATTCCTGCTGAAAACCATGCACATTTTTTAAGTTGATAGCAAGGTTGACAACTGTCAACCTCGCTGTTAACAGTCCAATCTTAATTCTAACATCAGATTCGTATTCAACGACCCCATAAACCCCGTAAGATAGCTTAACCCGTTTCGGACGAAAACGCCACTCTCGGTACACCGCTCTTTGGCGGCTCATAACTAATACTATTTGTGTCTGAAAAATTCGAGAGGTACATATTTTTATAGTTTAAGATGTGCCTTTTCTGATAGTATCCATAAAATTTCTCCAAAAAATTGTTAATTATGGAAAAAAACAGTTTAAAACAAAAAAACATTATTTTTTCGCACTTTTTTTTTTTTAAATCGAATTTTCAAAGGGTTTCTGCAATGACCCTAGAACCCCACCAAACGATGGAATAAACGTTTAAACTTTAATAATATGTGGTTTGGAGATCGATTTTACTCCTTAATGTATTCAAAATGGCGCCTAAACTGCAAAATTTTCGTGAAAACATTCATGAATTTTTTATTGAAAAATGATGCATTTTTACGAAAAATTGTCAAGAATAAAAAGTTCTTAAAATCACTCAAAAAATGCACTCGAATTTTTTGAAAATATTTCGAGCAATTTTTTTTATTTTATAAATAGTCAATTTTTGCAAAATTGAAAAAATTGCTCAAAAAATTCCGAAAAAATTTCCAAATGTCAAAGTAGTATCGGATCATGAAAAGGTTTGATATATTCGCGTATCTATCGTCAATCCGCCGCAAACAAAGTGTACATTGCGTTAAAATTTTAGAAGGATTTGCGCGATGGTTTTTGAGATAATTAATGTCAAAATTTCGTTTTTATATACACGAGTTCTTATGGGAGGGACAAGAAATTCCGCAGTAAATCCATCGCATCTTATCAAATGATAAGAAACGAAAAAAAAAGATAAACATACGATAATTAAAGTGAAAAATTTTTGGAACATTTAGAAGTTTTTTTCTTGAAAATAATGCACTAATAAGAAAAATGGTGAAGAATAAAAAGTTATTATAATTAGCCAAAGAATGCACCCAAATTTTTTCGGAATTTTTTGAGCAATTTTTTCAATTTTGCAAAAATTGACTATTTACAAAATCAAAAAAATTGCTCGAAATATTTTCAAAAAATTCGGGTGCATTTTTTGAGTGATTTTAAGAACTTTTTATTCTTGACAATTTTTCGTAAAAATACATCATTTTTCAATAAAAAATTCATGAATGTTTTCACGAAAATTTTGCAGTTTAGGCGCCATTTTGAATACATTAAGGAGTAAAATCGATCTCCAAACCACATATTATTAAAGTTTAAACGTTTATTCCACCGTTTAGTGGGGTTCTAGGGTCATTGCAGACAGGAAACCCTTTGAAAATTCGATTAAAAAAAAAAAAGTGTGAAAAAATCATGTTTTTTTTGTTTTAAACTGTTTTTTCCATAATTAACAATTTTTTGGAGAAATTTTATGGACACTATCAGAAAGGGTACATCTTAAACTATAAAAATATGTACCTCTCGAATTTTTCAGACACAAATAGTATTAGTTATGAGCCGCCAAAGAGCGGTGTACCGAGAGTGGCGTTTTCGTCCGAAACGGGTTAATACAAAACAAAACTTTACATTCTTCTGATTCAATTTCTGGTTAACAATTATTTCTACATTATCGTTAATATTGTAAATTGTAAAGGGTTTTTTTTAATCGAACCCCATAGTTTCTTTAAAAATTTATTAATAATTAATTTAAGACATGGATCGTCTCGATCGGTTCAAAATTACGGTCTGTAGCGATTTTTGAACAATAAATTGTGATTTCTTTCCCACTGTGCGCCGCACAGTGGGCAAAAAGACTCATTTTTTGGAAAATCTACCGACAGTGCAATTTCTAACCGATTTCAAATTCTTTTGTCTAATTTACTCATGCAACATTGCTCTACAACGTAATACTGCGACATTGATGAAAAAAAGCAGAAATTCAAAATAGAGGATAGAAAATGAGTGACGAAAGTATTGAATTCCTGTCGAATGATATTTTTCTCTTATAATATTAAACATATTTACACAGAAATTGTTTTTTGGGTAGCTAAATATGAATTTGAGATCAAACTTAAAATTAAAAAATCAAAATAACATTTATTATAAAAATAAAAAGTGTCGTAACTTTACAAGATTTATTGAGTTTACAAAAAAAGATTATTATGCACTTGGCACATAAGTATTTAAAAATTTTTCATATCTTAATATTAAATTTGTACAAAATAGCAGAATTTTGTTATATCGCTTTATAACTGCGTAGATAATAAAACAATACTTAAGTCCTTATACCACGCCAAGATATCGGCCATGATAAGGGTACTGGCTTTCTTGTTTTTGACTTTTATTTTCTATTCTTTTCAATTTTTTAAATGATTTTGTTTCTTTATTTTTTATTTTATCAATTTTTTAAATGTTTTTGTTTATTTTAAATGTTTATGTTATATCTGTTTTGAATTTTTTTCTATTTACATGTAATAGGTTAATATTTTTAAATATGTTTTAAAAGCCATTTGTGTGTGTGCGTGCGTGCGTGCGTGCGTGCGTGCGTGCGTGTGTGTGTACGTGTTCGGCGCACAAATTTGTGTTTAAAACATAAAAATATTAACCTATTACATGTAAGTAGAAAAGAATTCAAATAAATATAATATAAGCATTTAAAATAAACAAAAACATTTAAAAAATAGAGAAAAATAAAAAATAAAAAACGAAACCAAAAAAACTAGTATCCTTATAATGGCCTATATCTTGACGTGGTATAAGGGCTTAAATATTGTTTTATTATCTACGCAATTATAAAGCAATATAACAAAATTCTGCTATTTTGTACAAATTTAATATTAAAATATGAAAAATTTTTAAATAATTATGTGCGAAGTGCATAATACTCTTTTTTTGTAAATCCAATAAATCTTGTAAAGTTTCGACATTTTTTACTTATATAATAAATGTTATTTTGATTTTTTAATTTTAAGTTTGATCTCAAATTCATATTTAGCTACCCAAAAAACAATTTCAGTATAAATATATTTAATATTATAAGAGAAAAGTATCATTCGACAGGAATTCAATACCTTCGTCACTCATTTTCTATCCGCCATTTTGAATTTCAGCTTTTTTTTCATTAATGCCGCAGCACTACGTTGTAGAGCAATGTTTCATGAGTAATTAAAAAAAAAAAGTTTTGAAATCGGTTGAAAATTGCACAGTCGGTAGATTTTTGTCCAAAAAATGAGTCTTTTTGCCCACTGTGCGGCGTGCGGCGAAACATAAGTGCGGCAAGATAAAACACGAATAGCGGCGCGTTGTTCTTTCCCTCGCCGTGCACCGGCAATAGTTTCTGGATCGACTGGGCGCTGTCGCCTGAGCGGCTGCGACGCTCCTCTAATCATTTATGTCGACGCGCGCCCACTCCTCAGATTATTGTCATTAAGAACTCGATAATTATTACAAATCCCGCAAAATTGTACTTTACTATTCTTTTCAGTTTAATCCAATCTACCTTCATACTTCGGGTTGGCAGCTAATTACCGGACACCATGCAGAAATCTGACGAGTGAGTGCGTGCCAAGGTAATATTGAACGAACATTGCAAATGTTCGGACCCAGACAGCGCGGCCTAGTCGAACAAGCAACTATTGCCAGCGCACGGCGAAACTAGAGTCCCTATAAGGTAGTCTGGCCAATGAGTCTAGTTTTGTAAAAACATGGCGACAGTGGTATAAATATGTGCTGTTTATGTATCGTGCAGTACGTTGTTTGGCAGCAAATTGATACTAAAAGTAAGCAATAAAGTACAATTATTCAATAATTTAAAAATAAAGCAAAATAATAATAAAAAGTATAACATTATATAAAATAAAGTGGTTAAAATAATGGTCATTGTAACCTAACATTTTAGCAGGACCTCTGAAAAAGAATCTTGTTAAATAATACTATAAAATATGAATTTGCAGATTTCAACATGCCATCCTGTTGCGTCCCAGAATGCAAAAATTATCAGAAAGGTTTTTCTATGTACTCCCTTCCCGCAGAACCTAGTAGAAGAGCAATATGGATTGCAAATATCGGCAAACAAGATTGGAATTGTGCGAAAAAATGGTTTATATGAGGTAAGTTATCTTATTTCTTATGAGAAAATACTATTTGTTATAAAATATTCCTATTAGAAACAAATAATTCTTGCTCCATTTATGTATAGGCACATTTTGCTGATGACATGTGGGAAAAACCTCGCATGGATGGGAAGCGCAAACTGAAGTACAACGCGGTGCCAACAATTTTTAATAATATACCTGCGTGCAATGTAAGTATATTTTGTCTCGCCTATTATCTTAAAGTCAAATATTTACTTGTATAAATTACTAATGAAATTTCTACTTGCAGGTAGATACACATGTTGCAAATGCCAGGGCATCTTCGAAGATAGATAATGAATGTGACTATTTTAATAACATAGAGTTAAACGTATTGTATAATGTAGCTGGATATATAGTTCATAGTATTGCTAAAGGCAAAAGTGCAATATGCACAACTTGTTTAAATTCGGCAGGTTCAACTAAATATAACGCAAATGTTAAATACGCAAACTTTGTTCATCTCAAATGTTACCGGAATAACACATTATTTTTTGTAACCCAAGATGTTTTTGAATATTTTATGGACATGGAATTTATAATTAGACAATATCTTTCTCATGTAAGCAATTCTAAATGTAATTTAATTATCTTTTTTATGGAAAAAATGAAACATATTTCTTGTGTAAGCCTGAAAAATTGTCATAAATTAAATGTGAAAATTATGAAACGCTTTATTGCATTTCGGATGAAAATTGCGTGTCTAAAAGGCCGACTGGTAAAACCAACATATAACAGTAAAACAATGGTTATGCATTCTGTTGTTACTTAATGATACAAACTGTTAATATGTTTATGTACAATGTATGTGTTTTGTTTTGTTTTGTTGAATTTTATATTGTATGAAATCGAGAAATACATATTTGTCGCAAGTATCTTATTTCCTTCAGTTTCATACTTATCCTGCTTCCCGCAACACTTTCTATTGGTGCCTCTATGTTTTTACAAACTTTGCTTCGACCAATGAAAAGTAACACGTACTTGGCCAGACTCTACCTTATAGGGACTCTAGGCGAGACATAGGAGCAGCAAGATAAGACAAGAATAGTGGCACGTCCTTCCTCTTATCACACGTCGGTAACAATCGACTGGGTCGCGTTTAGAGAGACCAACCAGCTAAAATCCAATACCGTTTCGGCACGTGCTCATGCATCAGATTTCTACAGGGTTTGTTATAAAATAGATGCGGCATGTTATTGCTCCATGATAATGCTAGACCGCATATTGCAAAAAAAACTGTAAAAGCATTAACAGAATACAAATGCGAAGTTCTCCCTCATCCTCCTTATTCTCCTGACCTTCCTCCAACTGATTACTATTTGTTTAAGCATCTGGATAACTTTTTAAGTGAAAAGGTATTCCAAACAGAAAGCGACGTGAAAAATGCGTTCAACGAATTTCTTGTACCTCACTCTTCTAATTTCTACGTGAAAGGCATTGATGCGCTTGTATCACGTTGGGGGAAATGTATTGAGGTGGAGAGAGACTATTTCGATTAACGAGATGTATATAAAGTGTCGAATAAAGATTTAAATTAAGAATTAAAAAATGGCCATTTCATCTGCAACAACCTAATAAATACTGTGGGAGTGACGAACCATGGGGTCCTTATCTCTGCTGACACGCACACGCACACACGCACACGCACACACACACGCACGCTCGCACGCACGCACGCACGCACGCACGCACGCACGCACTCAATCACGCACGCACGCACGCACACACACACACACACACATACATACACACACACACACACAGGGGTGTAAAGTTCGACCATGCAACCTCCACGCGGTACATCCTGGATACTAATGTTGGCGGCATCGTAAATTCTAAAGCTCATAACAGACAATTCTCAACAGAAATAGATCATCAAGTAGTGTTTTGGAAACGTCTCGCTATCATCTTTAACACTGTGTGATAAAAAATGGAGTATTCCGTTTAAAAAAATTATGTTGACTTTGATCTCGCCTTGACCCTTCCATTCAAGGTCAAACGAATGTGATCATTCAATACAACTTTTAAAACCCTATAACTGTGGTTGAAAACATTTTTCTCAGAAACGTGTTGTTTTCGATATATTTGACCGTTTCCAGACTTTTCTAACACCCTGTATAATTTTTTTGTATTTGTTATTAAATAGAACTACACATGAATTTGTAGTTGTAATTAAATTCAATGTGTGTGATACATGTTTGTATTGTGTTGGCAAAGAAAATTCTTCTAAATCGTCGTCAATATTACTTAGAAGTACAAATACAGATATAACAATTTCGTCGTTTTGAAAATATTCTGGCTTTTCTTCAATTTCGTCGTTATCAAATGAAAATATACGAAATGCTTTTCCAAAATTTAAGACATCATCCGTGACTGTTCCTACAATTTCATGAACAGATAATTCAAATTGTTGATGAACATTATTTAGCATTTTTGCTATTTCAATGTGCGTGTGGGCAAATTTCATACGGCGACATGCCAGAACACACGAATTGTATCTTTTACTTGAGGATCTCTGCATAGGCAAATAAAAAAGAAACATATTTTTTTTCCATTATAGACAAAATATGTGAATACGTGAATACAAAAATACGTGAAAATGTATCTGAAAATATATCTGAAAAACCATTAAGATATTATGTTTTATATCTACGTAGGTACAGATATAGATAGTCCAATTCGAATGTATCTTACAAGGGGAGGACGTATCAACCGGGAAACGGTTTGGAACGAAACTTACGGAGCTAATAGTACTTGACTACTAATAACTTATGGTAATAGCATACGACGCAAGACTTCTTCGTTTTCGAGAAAAAACGGTCTAAAGAAAAGAGCCAACAGTGTACGAGTTAGTAAGAAAGGTATACAATGAAACGGCGTAGAGCAGCAGCGAAAATAACGGACTACCGAGCTGACGGCTGAGGTTCGATCCCTGCTATATGGTTCCTTTTTTATTCTATAAGCATAAAAATGAAACAGAAAACATTAATAAGTAATAAAACTGCGTTCCTTAAATATATTAGTGTTTGTTAAATATATTATTAATGATTTAAATTGCAAAAAGACAGTAAATCTTATTTATAAAATATATAGCGTATGAGAAAATTTTTATATAATAATTGCAATAGAAATAGGAGTAAAAATATATATTTTCGCTAGAGGATTTTTCGATAATAATTCATTATTCTCGTAAATAAAATTCGCACATACGAGAGCATTAGTGAATTTACCTTTAAAATCTTCATTTTCAAAAGATCTTTCTTCTAGCGATTCTACATCAACTATTTTGCTTGTTGAAGGATTCTCTGACATTGTTATGATATATGTAATTTAAATATGATCACCGAACTGGTCTGTATCACTAGTAAACGTACACTGCTGCTTGCTCTACTGACGACTGTTCCGATGCTCGAATTATTTCGTCATTCTTACCCATCGTTTAGAATGATACAAAGGAAGTTTTTGGAGGAGGATTGCCAGAAGAGATAAAGACACAACACAACTTCAACACAACACAACTTCAACACAACATAGAGAGTTGTAACAGAAACAAATATTTTATATATACGATATAAGATTACGAAAAATTATCTCATACTATTGTTTAACCCTTTGCGACCGGCTGATTTCAAAGAGATCGATAAACATGGATATCTATAAGTTGATCTAAACATTTTAATCTAGCATCGGGAGGATAGTTTTCTTTCATTATCGCTAACCTCGTTTGCCGTGCCGCACGTCAGGCGATCATGAATGCCAGCCTGGCGGTACCGACTTCTACGACGACTTACGAATGCCGCCACTGTGGCGGCATCGACCGCAAAGAGTTAATAGCATTTCTATATATTTAATAACAATATTTTTATTCCCATTTCCATTGCAATATTATATAAAATTTTCTCATACACTATATAATTTATACATAAGATTTACGGTTTTTTTGCAATTTAAATCATTAATAATATATTTAACAAACACTAATATATTTAAGAAACGCAGTTTTATTACTTATTAATGTTTTCTGTTTCATTTTTATGCTTACAGAATAAAAAAACCATACAGCAGGGATCGAACCTCAGCCGTCAGCTCGGTAGTCCGTCACAGAAGGTCGAAGCCACCAAGGCCGAAGCCCCCTCTGGGGAGACCGAGGCGGTCCAGCCGCCAGAGATCTCCCAAGAGGGGGGTGAAGGTAGACAGCCCGGAGGAGGCGTATAAGGCCTAGCCTTCACGCCACTCCGGTTGCTACAGGCGAACCTCGGCCACGGCGCCCGGGCTCAGGACCTGTGGGTACACAGGATCCGGGAACTGGGCGCCGGGCTGGGGGTGGCCACCGAGCCGAATTGGGTGCCGATCAGCAGTGAATACTGGTTCGGCAGCCCGGACGGCTCGGTGGCCATAGTGGCTGACCCTGCAGCGGGGACCCCTCCCTGTGTTTTAAGGCAAAAGGGATCCTCGTACGTGGCGGTTGACTGGGGCCTATAACTGTGGTGGGGTATATCTCCCCCACCACAGAAACAAAGCCGGACTTGGCCCCGCCCGCATCAAAGGGATCCTAGACAGGATCGGGGATTTGGTACGCAAGTGCCATCCCCGACCTGTCGTGGATTGCCGCGGATTTTAACGCTCACTCTGAGGAGTGGGGTTGCAGTCCCCGGCAGCGGGATCCCAGAGGCGAGGTGGTCATCGGCTGGGCGACGGGTCTTATGTTGTTAAACAGAAGGTCCACCGACACCTGCATAAGGCCGGGAGGGGGTCATCGGTCATTGATTTGACTTGGGCCTTCCTCTCGGCCGTAAGGTTGATCTCCAAATGGAGGGTGGAGGCTCAGGGTGAAACGTTATCTGACCCTATGGTCAAATAACTGTTCTTGGGCGTCCCCGCAGATGGAGACGTTGAACCCCCAGGCCCTCGAGGGGCTCCTGGACGCCCTCTTTCCGAGGGCGGAAGGGGGTCCCCGTGATTCCTCCCCCAGAAATGGAGGAGGAGCGTCCACCTGCACGCTCCGACTACTAACACTAATTAATACGGGGGGGGCAAAGCGGCGCTCCCCCCCTCCATAATACTCCGTGCGAGGTACTGTTCGCTTCCCCCCCCCGCCCCCTGCGTAAGGGCCGAAGGTTCGGCCTGGGACGGGCGCCTTTCCGGCTGCACGTCACAATATATATATAATATATATATATATATATATATACATATACAGTGGCGTGCAAACTTTTGAGCCACACAATTATTATTATATATTCATTTCATAATAAGCGCTAAAATCTTTATACATATATATAAACAAAATGTATTTATTTGCCTCAATTATATAAACTTTACAAACTTTTAATAATTCTAAATACTTTATCTTTACACAATGATTTATTACAAACAGTGCAAAAGTATTGCGCCAAAAAATTTTCTTATTCATAAGAAAAATATATTATTGAAAAATAATAACAGAAAATGTTGTCAACGTTTTTTTAAACTTAATACTTTGTTGCCATGCTTTTAGAAACAATCACTGCAGCACAACAGCGAGGCATTGATGCTATTAAATTAGAAATGCGATCTTGAGGTAAATTTTGCCATTGAGTTTGCAGATCTTGCCACAATTCAGCTTTATTGGAGTGTTTCTTATTTCCTGTACATAGTTTCAGTTCTTGCCACAAATGCTCAATAGGAATTCAAGTCCGACGACCGCGAGGGCCAGTCAAGAACTCGCATTTTTTTCGCGATGAAGAATTCTTTTATCAGTTTTGATGAATGTTTGGGATCGTAATCTTGTTGGAAAATCCAACCACGTGGCATGTTTCG